TGTCTTTTTCCATTGCAGGTCTATATTTTGGATACACTGTTCTTCTTAAAGCAGTATATAAAATGCAGGACCATGTTATTGCAGGATACTTCACTCAAGGAAAGTACTGGAAGGGGCGAGCCTTAAGAAAGCATCCCTTTCAGAAAAGAGCTTTACTTCAAGCACCAAATTCTGCATTGGTTGCATCCATCCATTGTATTTCACCTTATGATATAATGGAGTGTGTCCACCACCATCGTTCAGCCCAGACACTGAGGTCCAGCTCCAAGGGCCTTCTGATGGTTCCCTTCACTGCAAGAAGTGAAGTTACAGGGAACCAGGCAGAGGGCCCTCTCAGCAGAGGTGCTCTCCCTGTGGAATGCCCTCCCATCAGATGTCAAGGAGATAAACAACTACAGTGGTACCTCGGGTTAAGAACTTGATTCGTTCTGGAGCTCCGTTCTTAACCTGAAACTGTTCTTAACCTGAGGTACCACTTTAGTTAATGGGGCCTCCCACTGCCACCGCGCTGCCGCCATGCGATTTCTGTTCTCATCCTGAAGCAAAGTTATTAACCTCAGGTACTATTTCTGGGTTAGCAGAGTCTGTAACCTGAAGTGTCTGTAACCTGAAGCATCTGTAACCCAAGGTACCACTATACACAACTTTTAGAAGACATCTGAAGGCAGCCCTGTAATGGGAAGTTTCTAATGTTTGACTTTTTATTATGTTTTTATATTTTGCTGGAAGCTGCCCAGAGTGGCTGGGGAAACCCAGCTACATGGGTGGGGAATAATTGTTGTTGTTGTTGCTGCTGCTGCTGCTGTTAATTCCACCAGCTGAAGCCTGATCCAAGAGATGGCTGCTCAAAGGCTTATGAAGGCTGAAATCCTATACCAACTTACCTGAGAGTAGGCTTCATGGACTCAATGGGATACTCCTGAGCAAACAAGTATAAGATTGTGTTGTAAAGCTACATATACATATAAGACTGAAACTAGACACGTCAAAAAAGTGATTGAGTTAAACTCATGTAAACTTCATACAGGGAAATCCCATTGGTGAAAGATGGGACTCCACAGTGCCATCTTGTTGTCACAGTGTTATAAAGTATATAAAGCACTATCTTTATGAATGTAGCGGAGTCCTAAGTCTCATTAAACTCATTTGAACTTCCTTTGTAGGATTGTGATGCATGGTGCACAGTCTGAAATGAAGTCTGATCCTTGAACCCTGTGTTAGGCTGCTTTCAAGGGCAGGGTTGCTGATCTTCAATGACAGGAGAACGTGCCAAGAGAAGTACTACACCCACATGCAGTGCCATCTGCAGGGGACAAGGACCCTTCAACACAGAGACAGGCCTCATCCCAATAATGAAGCAGAAACTAAGACAAAATACAAAAACAGCAGCTGCTCAGAACTAGAGTACCCACTGAGTAATAGATAGCTCCACACTTGCAAGCGGGGCAGGGAAGATTGGTGTCTACCAACGTATGACTCTAATTAGATCCCCCCTGCTATGGAGGCAATTGCCTTGCACAGAGGTCAAAGTGGCTATCACATATTACCTTATATATTATAAATTTGCTTTCGTTTCTGTTCTTCAAGCACACAATTCCCATCAGTGCCTGGCTGGAGGAAGCTGTAGACACTCTCCGTTCAAGGCAGCTCACCAAATGTTTGAGGCCATTAAGAATTGTGCGACAAAACTGCATCATTCAGTTGTTCAGTAGATGCTGTAGTTTTCCTTTGGCAAATTTGTTTGGGCCATCAATGACCATGGAAGCAGCAGGTTGCCAGATCAGCCCTTTGCCTTGGGTATCTTGTGGCTACACAAGGCCACACTCTCACACATACACCTCTGCTGCATTGTAGTTCATCAAGGTGAACTTAAAAAATAATAATAATCAGATAATGTCAATCACACCCAAGTCAATTAAATTCACTCTAGGCTTTAAAATAGACTCAGTTAGTGCTTTGTGCCTCAGAGGGGGATGCTATGATCTGAAGAACCCTGTCTAGGAAAATGTTTCTGTGAGATGGCAAATAACATTTAAAAATTAATAAAAAGCTGCACCTCAAATTTTAGTGGCACCCTGTGTGATGTGAAAATTCAGCACCCCCACCTCTTGCCTTCTTTTCAACAGCATAGTTATGGCACCCCTATGGCACTCCCAAGGTCCAATGCCCAGTGCAACCAAACCAGTCACACTCCCCTAAATCTGCCTCTGTACATCCCATTATCCTTTACCATTGGCCATACCAGCTGAGGCTGATGGGAGTTGTAGTTCAACGAGATCTAGAGGGCCACAGATTCCCCACTCCCACAAGAGAGAGATGCTCCCCACCCACAACCCTCTTCTGTGTGTTGGGTCACTACAGGCCTTGTGAGGCACAGTCTCATCTTCTGTAACATCCTCATTTCAACTCTCTCAAGCCTCAAGTTCCATTTGCATCGAGTCAAAGGGAGCTTGAGATCCCATGCAGAAGATCCACACAGATGCCCCAGTCCCTGCAATTACCAGGGGCGGAAAGGAAAGGCAGGGGTCTCTTGAGTCCAGCAGTGATTCCTCCCTGTGCCAGCACAGTGTCCATATTAGGACTGATTGTGCACTTATTTTAGAAGAAAGGGACTGGTCCACCATCAGTTATCAGGCAACACCAATGTAAAAAGAAAGCTTTGTCCGGGCATTATACTGTAGGCATATGATTTACACCAATAACCATAGCTTCAAGCTCCTACATTAGACAGGCAATAGATGGTTTCCTCCTTCCAGCCCTATAGAATTTCAGCACCTAGAACAGCTCCTTGGTTTCCTATGCCAGTCCCTGGTGATTAAAGCCATACCCTTCTATTCCACCATCTAAGGCAGATGTGGGGAACCTCTGGCCCCTGCAGAACTACAAATCCCATCAGTCCCACCAAGCATGGCCACACTTGATTTAAGGGGGTAGTGCCAGGGATCCTGGATGACGTGGCTTCCAAAGGAGATAGCTGTGGCTTCAGAACTAGC